GGGGTTACCATATATATATATATGTATTGTTGTGTTCATCTCTATGTGATTCTAGAAAATGAAACTGTTACATGCCCTTTGGGGTCTGGGTTTGGGCACGATTACCACCCCGGCCATGCGGACTTTCTGGGTTCTCACGGCCTGGAATTCCAAATCTAGGAGCGCACGGTGGCCCATTCCATTGTCTTTCCACTGGGCGCAGCGATAGCATAGCATCTTTGCACTTAGGGAACTCAGAAGGCAGGAGCGGTTGATCTGGAATTCGGCTCGTAAAGGTTGAGGCGTCTGCGAACACACAAAAAACACCCACGGCAATTGTGTCCCTGATCAGCAGCTTTTGCGCAATTGGCTCGCAACCTGCCTATGTAACACGAGGTTGAGGATTAGCTTCCACACTGGCACTGTTGCTGCTATGGGCATCTGGGGCCGTCGCTCATGGCGCTCTGCGAAGCCGCCTGCTCCCCCAAATGCTGGCTCAGCACGGCCTTGGACAGCAAAATGCTATAATCCCTATAATAAGCCATAATATACCCTATAGAATCCCTATAAACCCTAGTAGTTTCCATTTTGTTTTCCATTATCCCTATATAGCCCCAATATATACCTTATAATCCCTAGATCCCATGATGCCATTGGGAGGCCAGAGCTGCGTACCATGCGCTCGTGTATTTGCTGCATGGGGCCTTCAGGGAAAACACACGATCCTGAGTTGCCCCAATCCCAGAAGGCATCAAGGTTCTTTTGGATTTGAGTTCACTGCCGATTGGGCCATCTTGCGGCCATTCAAGACGTCATGATCAACAACTGTGCAAACCCGACACCAAGAGCTTGAACCTTGAGCGTTCAATGCATCGCTCAACATCAGCTTTGGGGGGCACGCTTATGTCAATCAACCAATCAACTGCTGCCCTTCACCCCACTTTCTCGACATGTGTTGTTGTTTCGCGGTGTTTTGTCCAGATTGCTAATCGCTGGACCCCACACAGCCCAGGGCAACAAGAAGACTGAGCTCCTGGCAAGATTTGCCCAGTACTGCCTTGGATGCAGCTTTCAATCAAGGAACAACTACTTTCTCAGCTGATACCAAAGTACAACATCTGTGCTACATTGTTCTTGCACTGCCTCTCACTTAGGGCATCTGGGTTGCTGTTAAGGAACTTAAATCAAGTTTCCATAATGGGTATACATAATTATGAATATGGTTTCCCTAATCTTGAAAATTAATTTAAGCTCCTTAACAGCAACCCGGGCACTTAGGGCATCTGGGTTGCTGTTAAGGAACTTAAATAAAGTTACCATAATGGGTATATATAATAATTAATATGGTTTCCCCAATCTTGTAACTTAATTTAAGTTCCTTAACAGCAACCCGGGCATTCCACGGCTCTTGCATGCCGCCAAGTCTCGGATTGTCGGGGTTCAGCGACACCGCTTTGCGCACAGCTCGTGCCTTGCAGCCACGAAGCATACAATCATGCAGTCTTCCCTAGGGGGTCCAAGGACTTAAATAGTAGGGTTGTAGGGCCCAAATGCTATAATACTAATGGTATTTGGGCCCTAAAGCCCTATTATTTGGGTCCTTGGACCCTTAGGGTGAACTACGCACACAAAATCCCCCGTCACGCTCCCGCATCTTCCTGCGGCGAATTTCTATCGCCAAAAAAAGTGCTGGTAGCTGCTAAGCCCCACTGTCTGGGTCCCTGATGAACATCTCCGCATCGAGACTCTAGACAACAGGCATATTGATTCAGCCTCATCCTTGGCCTCTTCACATGGCCTGAACTCTACGAGTCGGAAGTCTGACTTACTGGCTCTTAGTAGGGACTCTGGGAATGTGTGATATAGGAATTATATTCTCTTTCTCTCTCCCACGGTCTCAGCGAACTGTCAGCCGCGTCCCGGGGCCGAGCCCTGCTCAAGCCGGCACATTCCCTTATTCCCTCATTCCCTACTAAGAACCAGTACGCTCAGTTCCCTAAAGCCTAAACCCTCGTCCGAGTTCCTTGCCCCATCATGCAAATTCATCTTGGAGGCCTGGGAAACGAGACTGGCAACATTATGGATAATGGAAAAACACAATATCACTAGGGTTTAGGGCTTGGGGTTTAGGATTTAAGGTCTAGCGTTAGTAGGGAATAAGGGAATATATTGGGGTTATGTACAGATGATGGAAAAGCAGATGGGCACTGCTGCATGTTGCGTGGATGCTTTAAGCCTATAGCTCATATGGGATTATATAACTGGACATCCCCTGAAGCCATCTTTTCTTGAAGCAACGCTGGCGAATGTCCAAAAGGGGAGCAGGGAAGTTGATCCATGTAAATATCCATATAGGGTTTAGGGCTTATCTCCATATATCATCTACAAGGATTTTGGTAACGCCGACGCCCCAAAAATAGGACCCTATAACCATCATAATATGATAGTGATAGGGTCCTAATTTTGAGGGTTGGGGTTACCAAAATCTTTTTATTCTCATCCGGCTACATTAGCCCTGAACCCTAAAATTGCACCTATATCCACTCCTCCACTACCTCTTCAGCCAATCTCTGAGAACACGACCAGGCAGCAGCCGAGGTTGTTCCACCCCTTGGCGAAGTCCGGGTTTAACCTCATTCTGGAGCTTCTGAAAATTGGGCTCTCGGGTCCCCGATACAGATTCTGTAGAAACATATTGATGGATGCCAATCTATCCCCGACCCTCGCCAGAAGGTCGGGCGAACAAACGCATGAACACCCGCCACGTCCAACCATGGCGTTGTCAAAACTGGGTTGCTGTTCAGGAGCTTAAGTTCAGTTACTATATTGGGGAAACCACACCCATTTATGGTAGCTTAATTCAGAAAAGCAGAAGCATCGCAGCGGTCAGAAGAATCAGCATTGCTGGGCACAGCACTGAAGGGCAATCTGTAACCTGCCCGGCGAAAGCTTAACCCGCACATGCGCAGACAGAGTCCATCTCAGAAACGGTGCCAGATAGCGCACAGCTAGATGATCATGCATCGGATGCAGGGCTGGCCTCTTCTCTGCCTGCTCGATTTTCCTGGGCCAGCCCAGCGTGGCAAAGACAGCTGAATTGCGGCTTGCAGAACAACCTACTTGCACTACACTACATGGAACATCTGCCTGTTGGCATCGCTGGATTGCAGCAGCACAAGAAACAGCGGCTGCGCGGGTGACTAGATCGGGGCCCGCTTTCTGAACTGCTGGGTCCAACGAAGGAGATTCCAGTGTAGGGGAAAATGGATGCAGGAGGTTCTGTGAAAGCTGGTTGGACCTGATGGGAAGCTAGAGACCGCGTGAAAAGTCTGCTCGAGACATGACACAGCATCATCACCTGGGCACAGGCATAACAAGCAAGAAGTGCCGATGCTTGCTGCTGAAATGTCTTTGCTAGATCCTTCCGTAGTTGCCCAAAGAAACAGGCAGGGCCCCAACAAGCCAACGAAAACATGATCCCAGCTTCCATCTAATTGTCCATCCATGTTCTTAGCCAAGTGATTCTCAAGTATTATTGGGGTGATATCCCTACTATACCCGTATGATATCACAATATGTATATATATTATATATACACTACTAATTCCAATTTTCTTTTCCATTAGTCGCTATATAACTCCTAACCAAAACCTATAATACATAGATATACATACACATAGTAATCCCAACGTTACCCTTCAGAGCTTGCCATGCAGTCGGGCGTCCCGTTCTGAAACATTGCCAGCGCTAGATCGTGGAACACCTGCCGGAGCAGTACCCATTACTGCAGGTCCATTAGACCTAAGTACAAGAATATGTTTAGTAATCCCTGTGCGTTGTAGTACACTGAAACAGAAAGATATTTTCTAAAGGGATGGAAGGTAGCGCGGAAGAAAGAGGCAAGGGCAAGGTCAAAGCAGCAAAATGCTGGCTGACACATCGACGCGCTCTTCATTCATGCCTTGATGCGAACTGCCACTAATGCACGCCGCAATGATCTAGACGTCTGAATTACTTCCGGGTTGTCGTAGTACGTGCCGTTAGCACGCAACAAAAACACTACGTCACCTGCTCGCTCGATTCAAGCTCTTTTTTGTGAGCTCCTCACGCTTGCACAGCCAGCAAGGCTAATCCAGGTCTACAACCTCAGTGTCTAGGTCTACCTCTATGGGCTGCTCTCTTGCAGATGGCTTTAGAAACATGCGCCAACGGTGCTCTGCAATTGCTGGACCTGCAGTCGCTTGATGTGCTTCCTGAGCGTCTTTTGAAGTAGCCAGGGTCAGATCCTGGAAGGGGTCGAAGAGGTGCTCGTCGAGCAAGCAGACACTGCCCTCCATACCCTCAGCCTCCAACGGCAGAGTTGTGTCTGGCGCCGGCAGCGGAGCTGGCATGCCGCGCTCCTCCTTCCGCAGTCGTGACCGCTCCTCGTCTCGGTGCACCCAGCTGTAAACATGCTGTACTGCCGTCTTTGTAGCGGCCGGGAGCTCCATGAAAGCCTGGGCAGCAATGAGATCCTCCAGCCCGGTGCAACGTGGGGCTGCAGCTTTTTGCGCACGCTGCGCGGAACAGCCGCCAAAGGTCTTGTTGTCTGCCCAGTAGCAGTAATTCATGCACTTAAGGATCCTTCCTCCAGCATTTCTTGCCTGCACATTGAGGCACACATCCTCAAACAAACGCAGTTGCGGGATGTACTCTACTTGAAGTTTGGCAAGCTCTGCGAGATTTAGGAGAACAACTTTGAACACAGAGGTGCTGTCAAGAGCCCACTGCGCAGACTTCATGGGAGCTGTGCCGTCATCTCGCAGGAAACCACAAATTGCGCAGGCTCCTTGGGATGCCTGCTGCTGAACTGCAAGCATTGCTTCAGCAAACATGGCACCCCTGCAGCGTCGCTCTTTCCTGCGCCCCGCAGGCTTGGACAGCGGAGTTGACGGTACAAGCGCGCCGCGGTCCAGGAGCCGCTCCTCCTCTGCCTGGAGCAGCTTGGCAGACAGCGGATCTAGCCTGTAGAAGCTCGTAATGCTGTCGTCAACCAGCCAGCACTGCTGCATCTGTCGCACAGGCCCCAGCTCATCGGCATCAGCAAGCTCTGTGCGAAAGGCTGACGCTGTCTTCTGGACACACCAGCGCACAAAGGCAGGACCCATGTCATTCTCAGGCAGCACGAGGAGGGGCAAGTCTGCCCATTTTTCACGGTATTCTGTTGCTTCGGCAGGCTCCACAACTGCTATGACTAAGGCGCGGGGAGTTTGCTCGTCGGCTTCCTGGAATGCCTCCTGACCAAAGCAGTGCGCAGCTCGCCAGTTCAGGTGAGCATCTTTGGCGCGCCCTTTGGTCGGGATGAAAACTGGGTAAGGCTGCTGCGGTTGAGAGCTAGGCGCCGAACCAAACCACTGGCACCAAGCGAACAAGGAATCAATCGACCCCGTGGCGGCCCAGAATGTGAGACGCAGCGATTTTGTTGAGCCGTCTGGACGAGAATATGAGGCCGGCTGCCCCCTCTCTTTGCGACCCTCCCAGGCAACCAACGTCAAGCGTTCCAAATTAGTTGCTTTCGTCTCGGGTGGTGTTTGCATGGAGAGTCGATATTGGTCTTGCTTAAACTGACCCCATGTATGAGTGTACCTTAGCACGGCAGTGGGATGCGGTAGGTGCAATTTTAAGGTTCTACAGAGGAGCCTCGAGAGGAAGACTTGGACATCACCTGATGCATAAACATAAAACACATTGGCACAACAAATTGCCACAAACAAAGCCAAGACTCCGGCCTTCAGCGATTTTCTGCTTCATGTTCCTCGACCGCTGCAAGCCCAGGAGCTTGGCATCTACCTTGCCATAACGCGGAGACACATGTAGGACAGCCAAGGCCCTCCTCCCCGCCGGCTGCAACTTCCTCTGCAGGAGGCAGAGCGTTTTAGGCTCAAACTTTAACAACGAACAGAAACACTGCTGCGATCTTTCTGGGCATGCAGGAGTTCTACAAACTTCCAAATGAGGTTCTATATAATAAGGAATCCTCTTATTTGGGAACCCAACACCCTACATGGCAATCTCCATTTTTCTGTCTATCCCCCTTATCCCCTAATTTCAGTGGCAGCATTCATGTCCTCTTCTTCCTCCACGCTTGTAGCTGCCAACGAATATGAAATCGCATCTTGGAGCGGGCTACAGCCGCACTCGCTGTAGTTGCTGCCAAATCCACCAGAACCTGTGCTTGACTTGACATCCCGCAGGGGGAGCATTCAACCCTAAACCCCAAACCCCTAAACCCTAAACCCCTAACCCTAAACCCTGGGAACCATGGCAGTAGTCAGGACTTGGGGAGCGCTCTTCAGCAACATCATGCCTATGCTGAAAATACTGATGCTCTACTTGGAGACCCATGGGACTTAGTAACTACTTATAACTGGGCTTATAGCCCTACTTATAATCCCCCTAAATGGGCTTATAGAGGTTACCCCTATTATAAGTAGGGTTATAATCCCAGTTTTAAGCAGTTACTAAGTCTGTGGGCCTCCAAGTAGTGCAGGAGCCATCCCTTCCTGATTCCTAAAGCAGGGGCCAGGAATAAGAATCAAGTCGACAGCCTGCGTATCTCCATCCCCATGTCCTAACTGCTTGCTTCGGCAATTTCTACTGTATACGGCCCATCCTACAGAATTCCTACAGACCCTACAACCCTGAACTCACACATTCTCCCCCCAAAACTATCGAGGAGCGAGCCCTTTTGAAACAAAAGCGGTCTTTGAAGGGTGTCTGCGGAGGTTCCGTGACATTTTGGGGGGGTGAAAAACTTTATTTCAATCCTGAGTCACTTTCCCTGAGCTGGATCGTCGCAGTCCCTCTGGTGCCAAGCGCCGGTGCTTGGGCCGCGGGCAGCCGCACCTAGAGCTGTCAGGTTCCCGAAAATGGATACAAACTCCAAAAAAAATCCTTAGCATCAGGACCTCCAAACAGGTTCCCGTACCCCTAATTTTGGGAAATCCT